TCCAGGCTGGATGCTAATTTGCTAGTGCCAGTATATAACTTTATTTTTCTCCCCCCCCCCCCCGGTTGCTTGTCTTTTTTCCTTCCTTTGTGTCCTAAATTAAATCAGATGTTTTTCCACGGAGTTTTGTTGGTACACATAAACGTGGCAATCTGCCCATTTCCTGCAAATGATTGTTTTTGTGATCAGTTTGTTAATGCTCCCAGCTTTGGAGCATCTGCTGCTGGCCTTACACTCAAGCTGGGTTGTTATAGGTGTACACTGACACACTTCTGCAGCTGAGCTAATACTGTACCAAGGCAGAGTAAAGCTATTAAAGGATTAAGAGTATTGCGGTATTTGAGGGGCTGCTACAAAGAAGAGGGGGGTCAACTTATTTTCCAAGAAACAAGAAACAATGGATGGAAACTAATCAAGGAGAGAAGCAACCTGGAACTAAGGAGAAACTCCCTGACAGTGAGGACAATCAACCAGTGGAACTGCTTGCCACCAGAAGTTGTGGCTGCCCCATCGCTGGAAGATTTTAAGAAAAGACTGGATAACCCCCTATCTGAAATGTTATAGCGTCTCCTGCTTGAGCAGGGGGTTGGACTAGAAGACCCCCAAGGTCCCTTCCAGCTTTATTCTGATTGATTGATTGAAGATGTACAATAGTTGTCGTTTGTAAATAGGACCTGTTTTCTGACGTTGACTTTTCTCTTTTTTTCCCCTTGCTAGGTCCTTGACATGCACCTTCCGGTGTTAACCCCTTATTTTGTCCAAAACCCTAAACGGTTTGGGAAGACCGGAAGTGGTTTGCGAGTCACGTGGCTCGGACACGCCTCGTTGATGGTCGAAATGGATGACGTGACCTTTCTTACCGATCCCATCTTCAGCCAACGGGCTTCCCCGGTGCAGTTTATGGGCTCTAAACGTTTCCGGGGTCCTCCGTGCACCATCGACCAACTGCCCAAAATAGACGCCGTTTTGATCAGCCATAACCATTACGACCACCTGGATTACTCCACGGTCCTGGGTTTGAACGCACGCTTTGGCAGTGAACTCAGATGGTTCGTGCCGCTGGGCCTGTTGGACTGGATGCAGAGTTGTGGCTGCGAGAATGTCATCGAACTGGACTGGTGGGGAGAAAATTGCATTCCGGGCCACGACGCCGTCACCTTTGTTTTCACACCTGCTCAACACTGGTGCAGAAGGACTGCCAGAGATGAAAACAAAGTTCTCTGGGGGAGCTGGTCTGTTCTGGGTCCCTGGAACCGGTTCTTTTTCGCCGGAGACACCGGTTATTGCGTCGCCTTCGAGGAAATTGGGAAACGGTTCGGGCCGTTCGATTTGGCAGCGATTCCCATCGGCGCCTACGAACCAAGGTGGGAGAGTGTAAGGCACGGAGGGCAAACGATAAGCCTACTGATGTTTTGTAGAGGCAGGTGGTCCTCAGCGACCCACAACAGATTTCCCTGGCTAAGCCCGGTGTCATGTGTCTGAGTAACGAAACACTTAAAAGGACTTTCAGGCATGTTTTCTCCTAAAAGCATTTTTTAATGTTAAAGCCACATCAGCACAGCATGGAGGAATGCTTAGAACTGCTTCTCTTCCGTTACGCATAACATTCCAAACATTTTCCACTCCCTTATTTTAGGGTCATGGTTCACATCTTCCAATCAACTTGGAAGATGTGATTTACTTCCGGTTTCTTTCTCCCGGGCTATCCTTATGCTCCTCCCCCTTTCCTGGTTGCTGGTTTAACTATATAAATACCAGACAGTTCTGCACATTGTCAAATCAAGAATATACAGTATTTGCAGCGTTGACACCCGGACAGATGTTCAATGAGCCGTGCCCCGTTTTAGGACCCTTTTTGCCAGAGTTGTTAAGTGAATTGCACAGTTGTGTGGTTGTTCAGCGAATCTGGCTTCCCCTCCCTCCTCCCCCCATTGATTTTGTGTGTTGGAAACTGGCTGGGAAAGTCAAACGTGATCATCACATGACGGCGGGATGCTGTCGCCGCCATAAATAGCCGCCAATTGCTAAGCACCCAAATTATGATCATGGGGACGCTGCAGTGGTCATAAGTGTGAAAAAAGCGGTCATAAGGCACTTTTTTTCAGTGTCGTTGTAACTTCGAACGCTTGCTAAAGAATGTCCCAGCAGGCAACTGGACTTCCTTGTTTTTCTTTGAAGATGTTTCGCTTCTCATCCCAGAAGCTTCTTCAGCTCTGACCGGATTTATATTCCTTGCAGATTGCTGGTCATTTGCATTCTTTTAGAGGGTCGTTGAGGCCACTTGGAGGTTTGCCTGTGTCCTCAGAGTCACCTGAGGCTCTGAAACCTTGGCTACAGGATGTTTTCTGCCCTGTGTCCTGCAGCCAAGAAGGCGCCACACCCATTTGCACCACTCAGGTGACCTTCAGGACACAGGTGAGTCTCCAAGTGGCCTCAACGACCCTCTAAAAGGATGCAAATGACCAGCTGTCTGCAAGGAGTATAAATCCTTCCATTCCCCACCGTCCAGCCAGAGCTGAAGAAGCTTCTGGGATGAGAAGCAAAATGTCTTCAAAGAAAAACAAGAAAGTCCAGTTGCCTCCTGAAAAAGCACCTTTGGGACAACCAGGACTTACCTGGAGGACTGAGAATCTCCACAGACATTTATTAAAGAATAGATGTAATTGAGGACTATCTATCAGTGCCAGTGTAGAAGAGCAGGAGATTAACATCAGGCGCAAATAACCAGGACCTTTATTGATACAA